TTTATATTTATGGTGTTATTCTGTTCAAAGAGTTTGTACGACAACACTTGCAGCCGAGTTTCAACGTTATCTTTAAATGTTAGAAATTGAGCTTCGGGTTTAGGCAGGTTTTCTTCAGAGCGTCTTTGCGCTAGATTAGAGAAGTCCGTCGGCTGGACAGGATTAGATAGCTCGACAGAGGCGCTATAGAAAGACTTGTCAATAAAGGCTTCAAGTTCCTTTATAGTAGAATTGTTTGGACTTAGAAGCATATCATCAGATTTGGATGCATCGCCCAAGACATCGGTTTCAATATCACATAGATCGTTAATATTAGACAAGTTGATTAAATCCACAATATTATTCATTTGACACATCAAGGGCTGCATTGGCGGCGATGCAGTCTTACTTTTATTGTCAACATGCTTTGTTGGTGAATTCTTAAGATTTAATGACTTCCTTTCATTTTCAATTTCTGACAAATTCGCTTGAAGCTGTTTGATAGTGATATCTCGCTCGTTTATCGCTCTGTTTTTCTCGTCTAAAATTATGGAAAACTCCTTAAGCAAGGTCTCCATTCTGGTGTCGTACGATATTTGACGGTTTTCGGTAGAGTCCAAAACCTTACTAATAGATTCTATAATCGCGTTGGTAGAGTTAATAACATTGTTTATAGATGTTATTTGTTTTTGCAGAACTGTTATGTCCGCTTTAACCCCCTTTCATATCGTTGGTAAAAGTATTGTACGACCAACTGAGATGTTTCAACGGGGTCGATTCAGTAACTGCCGGGTTATTGTTAGTGATAATTTCGCATGTTTTAACTGGAGATATCTCTGCAGTCTCTGTTTCAAATACCGAATCCGCTATGTTGGTCATAAAATCAGTGTCCGTATCCGTGGTTGTTTGGCCAATACAAGTTATATCTAAGACACTCACCAGATAATTCTTGAGCAGATCACCATCCTTTCCTTGGAATAATAGCGAATTCTGTTTGCCCGGGTACCACGTCGCGATCAGATCAAAATTTACGCTGGTAAACCTCTTAGCTTTATCACCAGGTGATGACCAATTGCCTCGTAGGCCGACAATATTTTCAACGAATTTCTTTAGTGATTGAAGATCCTGCGACCATTTAATTCGGGTTCCGTCATACGTTAAGTGACCACAACATTTCAAAGACCTAATAATGTCTAAGTCAAGGTTCAGAGACGTCAAATTTCAGATTTTTGTAGAGCTCGAAAAGTCGTGATGGAGGTCAATCTGCAATGGAGGTCCCGGATGTAGACACTCCCCCTTCTGGGGTCCCTAACTGCTGTTTTGCATAGGTAGGATCACCGTCTTGAGACTGTGTCGTCTCTAATTCACGCTCATTCGAGTGCCATTTGTGAAGCTTAAACCCCGCATCCTCGAAAATAGTTGTTGCTTTCTCTTTAACTTCTTCCGTTTCCGATACTGATGTTGACCCCGTTATCAAATCGTCCACGTACAAACAACTCTTCACGCAGTTTTGCTACTACTTCCAGTTCTCTTTCTTCCCAGTTACTCAAGTGTGCATCAATGACTCCCCCCAACAAGAAAGGAGATGATACAAGCCCGAAAAGTGCCCTGGTAAATCTCAAGGTCTCTAGTTCTGATTGCTGATCTTTCCGCCAGTGAAATCGAAGCGCGTCTCGGTCGTTTTCGCGAATACGTACTTGCAAAAAGGCCTTTTGCAAGTCACCCGTCAGAGCTACTGGATGAAACCGTCCTCTAACTAACACATCCCACATTCTATTTTGCAATGGAGGTCCCGGATGTAGACACTCATTCAGCGATGGAACACCGTCATGTGCTTTTGCAGAAGCGTCATAGACGACTCGGATTTTTGTGGATTCTGCATCAGGTCGAATAACTGCTTTGTGAGGGATGTAGAATTCTCTTCCTACGCTCCGCAGTTCAGCTTTCTCAATTATCCCCTCTGCCTTTTGTTCCTCCATTATCTCCCCGTATTTGGTTGTCAAACCTTGCCGTTCGAGTCTGTTCGTTAACCTTGCTAATCGTCGCAAACTATTAGCTTCGTTGTTGGGTAATACAGGATGGTTGCCGCGCCACGGTAGCCCTGTTTCGTACCAACCAGCTGGGTCCCGGGTGAGTTGTTCTTTGAACTCGTCAAATACACTGTGCTGGTCGTTGGTGGGTGTATCTTTCAAACCCAAGACATCCAGGCGACACAGTTCTTCGTAATCAGCCTGGGATGTCTGAGTCAAAAGCATATTGGTCACGTCGCAGGATTCTTTTCCAGGGGACATGATGGTCCATCCAAACTCTGTCAACCCAGCTACCGGTTGCCCCGACTTACCAACTCTGGGTGGCTGATCAGTTTTCAACATTGCGTAGTCACTTGCTCCGAGAATGATGTGCACCGGAAGTCGCTCTTTCTGATCAATGTCTTCCATGATGACTCCTTTCAAGTGTGAGTTTCGCTCTATCATGTTCTGATATCTCGGATTGTCTATGAACACAAGTTCTCCTTTGTTCACCTTGGTGACTTCGACTTTCATAGAAAATTTACCCGATATTCCCTTGATTTCAATGGTTGACAATTCGACTTCCCTCGTTGTCACGCCGAGCATCATATCAACTTTTCGTATTTCTCTCTTGGACGGCCGCTTTGGAATGCGATCCAAAAGTGCTGCCGACGCGTAGGAACTGCCTGCTCCTGTGTCGAGTAGGGCTCTGCACTTAACACCTTCAACTTCGACTATAACCACTGGGTGCGTAACGCGCGTGTTCATATGGCTCTGATTTTTCCTCGATCGGATTGATATCTTTCCACTTTTTCAGCTCTTTTAGAAGATCATCAAAGCTCCATTTTTGCCAGCCTTCATTTCCGCGTACTAGGGCTGCTTTTATTCCCTTTAACTTGTCCAAAGTTGCTCGCACATTTCCTCTCACATCATCTAATTTGCCAAGTGTATCAAGACTTTGAACGTTATATCTCTGTTGTTTATACAAATCGTGTATTTTAGTAGGATTTGACCCTGAAATTACCGGTAGATTGGTGATATTTACTATGTATGCGTTCGCAACTTCAGCTGACTGTCCGTATTCGGTTTCGAGAATATCTTTGGCTTTTGAGTATCCCTCTTCGGTACACAGCAAAAAAATCGTTTTCTTATTTCAAGAAAAAAAAAACTTGTTTCAAGAATTATTTTCTTAAAACAAGAATTTTTTTACTAGGGAGAATAGCGAGAAATATTTTCTAACGGAGAAAATATTTCTTAAAATATTTCTTAAAATAAGAAAAAAACATTTTCTTGTTTTAAGAAAAATATATCTCATTTCAAGAAAATAATGAAACATTTTTCTAGTGCACTTTTTCTTAAAATAAGAAATTTTTTAGAACTAGAAAATTTTTCTTAAATTAAGAAAACTTTTCTTAAATAATAAGAAATTAAATCTTAAATTAAGAAAATATAACTTGTTTTAAGAAAATATTTCTCAAAACAAGAAAATTTTTACTAGGGGGAATGGCGAGAATAAAATTCTAATTAAGAAAATATTTCTAGATGAATCATTTTCTTGATTTAAGAAAATATATCTTATTTTAAGATTAAATTTCTTAAAACTAGATAATTTTGCCTAGATAAAAAAATAAGATAAATTTACACCTAACATTCTCAGTTTAAGAAAAAACTCTCATTCTAAGAAAATAACTTGTATATTTACTGAAATTATAGTAGTTCTGATAGCACAGCAATGTGTTGTAGTGAATTGAGTTTCTCCCAGGGTTTTTTCCAGGATTTTCTCTTGGGTCCGTTTTTGCAGCGAAGATTGAGTTTAGCTGAACAGTTGGGGTGGCTGCATCCCCCCCCCCCCTACCGGTGGGCTGACACCTGTACTCAATAAATGTAATTGAGACGGAATGCGTTAAAACAGGGACACTATAAACTGGTTAAAGATGGCTTGTCGGGCTTCCAACTGAAAACTAATTTCCACACGTCACAACATTTTATAACTCAAACAACTTCATTTTTACTGCACTGAAACTTTGGTGAGAAGATTGAGTTTCAAAACTCAATTCAAGATTGAGTTTTTGGGGCCGTTTAAAGGGCACTAAAAAATCCCTGAAAAAACCCCTGGTTTCTCCTGAAGCCATATTTTGTTTAACATTTTGTCCATTTCACAATCAATATTTAGTAATCTATACCATTGTTCATTCACCAAGTCCATTGATTTCTTCATGTACATTTAATTAATACTGTTCCAAACACAGCATGCAATTGCCATCAAAGATCCATCATCTTAGAATCTGTAAAAGGAAAATTTTACTTATTGAAAATGTAATCATTACTTTATACAAAATATGCCAGAACAATGACCTTGAGACTTATCATTAACCTACAGTGTAAAAGGGACTACTAACTGTGGATGTAATAAACAGCCTTTATTTAACCAATAACAAAGCCAGTTCATATTTGTATGTACAAGGCGATGCAGGGTATGACAAATATACATATGTTAACCAGAGACAGGCTTTCTCCAGACCTGTACCCAGTAGACCAGGAGGGTTTTTCAGGGATTTTTTAGGGCCGTTAAACGGGCCCAAAAATTCAATCTTGAATTGAGTTTTGAAACTCAATCTTGTCACCAAAGTTTCAGTGCAGTAAAAATGAAGTTGTTTGAGTTATAAAATTTTGTGACATGTGGAAATTAGTTTTCAGTTGGAAGCCCGACACTTAAGAAAACAGGGCTGGAATTCATCTTGCAACACAAGAAAAACTATGCATTCGCCATCTTTAACCAGTTTATAGTGTCCCTTAGTGCCCCTGCTTTAACACATTCCATCTCAACTACATTTATTGAGCATAGGTGTCAGCCTCCCTCAGCTGTTCAGCTAAACTCAATCTTCTCTGCAAAAATGGACCCAAGAGAAAGTCCTGAAAAAAACCATGTAGACTACTATCTGGTGCCATTAGGTATCTGGGCACCACCCGGCTACCATCTGCTATTAGGCAAACCACCATCTGGCGCAACTTCTTCTGGCAAAGACCTTGAACCGATGTTATTTTAAAAAGTAATAACCAATAATCACTATTAATCAGTAAGCTTAGTTTCACCAGACACTAAATTTTGTTGCATCATACTTTATTATTTTACTCTGTCTAACACCAGATAACTTTACTTGTCAAGGGGAAAGCAGTCGTGCTCAATGGGTTAATCAGACTATCTGCTCATGTGTCAAATTAACCATTTAGTTGCATTGTGCACTACTGTCTAATAATTATTAGTTAGCCTAGTATATTATGTCAATTAATTTATGATCTGTCATGCGACAGTTCCAGTTTAAAGGGGAATATATCTTGTGGACTAAATATGATACTCAACTGACTGTCTTCTCTTAAATAACTTTAATTCATTATACAGTTAGCATCACTGTAGTGCAGTGACATTACATTAACCCTTTAAGTGCCAATGCACCAAGATGCGCCCTACTTTATTATTTTACTCTGTCTAATGTCAGACGATTTAACTCGTCAGGGACTCAGGGGAAGAGTGCTGCCACTAATTGGGTTAATACATCAGGATCCTGGAC